AAAACACTAAATCTACAGAACAATGGAAAAATATTAAAAGCAGCAAGGGAAAAAGGCCAAGTAACATATAAATGTAGACCTATCAGAATCACTCCAGAATTCTTACCAGAAATTATAAAAGCCAGAAGGGTCTGGGCAGATGTCATGCAGACTCTAAGAGACCACAGATGCCAACCCAGACTATCTTTACCCAGCAAAGCTTTCAATCAGTATAGATGGATTAAACAAATATTCTATGATAAACTAAACTTAAACAATATCTACATAGTAACATAGCCCTACAGAGATACTAGAAAGAAAAGTCCAATCCAACAAAACCAACTATACCCAAGAAAACACAAGATATAGATGACTTCATAACAAAGAATTAAAAGAAAACAAGCACTGAAACACAGTAACAATACCAACTATACAATAAAAGGAACTAGCATTCATTGGTCACTATTATCTAGCAACATCAATGGACTCAATTCTCAAAAAAGCTAACTACAACAACTTCAAAAACACTGACTAACAGAATGGTTGGGGAAACAGGATTCAACATTCTGCTGCATCTAAGAAACACACCTCTACACAAAGATAAACACTTCCTCAGAGTAAAGGTCTGGAAAAAGGTTTTTTTTTTTCAAGCAAACAGACCCAGAAAACAAGCTGGAGTATCTATCCTAATATCGAATAAAATAGACTTTCAACCAAAATTAATCTAAAAAGATGAGATGGGACACTTCATTCTCATCAAAGGAAAAATCTATCAGGAGGACTTCACAATTCTGAACATCTATGCACCAAAAACAAGAGCACCTGCATTTGTAAATGAAACATTATTGAAGCTTAAATCACACATCGATCCCAACGCCATAATAATGGAAAACTTCAATACTCCACTCTCACCAAGGGACAGATCAGCTAGATGGAAGGTAAATAGGGAAATAATGACACTTGCAGAGGTCCTAAGTCAAATGGACCCAATAGATGTCTGTAAAACTTTTCACCCAAACTCAAAAGAGTATACCCTCTTTTCAGCAAATCATCAACCTTCTCAAAAATTGACCATTTAATCAAGAATAAAGCAAGCCTCAACATATACAAGAAGATCGAAATAATCCCTTGTATCCTATCAGACCACCATGGCCTAAAACTAGACTTTAACAACAGAAATAACAAAGAGCCTACATACACATGGAAACTAAGCGACTATCTACTCAATGACAACTTGGTCAGGGAAGAAGTGAAAAAAAATTAGAAACTTCCAAAAATTCAAGGAAATTGAAGGTACAACCTACCCAAACCTATTGGACACAATGAAAGCAGTGCTAAGAGGAAAGTTCATAGCACTAAGTGCCTCCAGAAAGAACTTGGAGACATCTCATACAAGCAATTTAATGACACACCTAAATGCCCAAGGGGGTAAAAAAAAGAAGACACACCCAAGAGGAGCAGATAATTGGAAATAATCAAACTTACAGTTGAAATCAATGAATTTAAAATGAAGAAAACAATTCAAAGAATCAATGAGACCAAGAACTGGCTCTTTGAGAAAATAAAAAGATTGACAAACCCCTAGCCAAACTAACTAAAAGGCAGAGAAAAACTATCCAAATCAGCAAAACAAGAAATGAAAAGGGGAACATAACAACAAACACTGAAGAAATACAAACAACCATTACGTCATACTACAAAAGTTTATATGCCACAAAATTAAAAATTGAATGAATTGGACAATTCTCTTGATAGATTCAATTTATTAAACTTAAATCAAGATGAGGTAAATAATTAAAATAGTCCTATATCCCCTAATAAATAGAAGCAAGTATCAAAAGCCACCCTTCCAAAAAAGCCTAGGGCTAGATGGTTTCAGAGCAGAATTTTAGCAAAGAGTTAGCTCTTTGAAAGAAGAGCTAACTCTAGTTCTTTTCAAACTATTCCACAAAATAGAAACAGAAGGAACATCATCAAACTCATTGTATGAAGCCATATTCACCCAGATACCTTAAACCACACAAAGAGCTAACAAAAAGGAGAACTTCAGATTTATTTCTCTTATGAACTTTGATGCAAACATACTCAATAAAATACTTGCAAACTGAATCCAAGAACACATAAAAGATATCATCCACCATGACCAAGGAGGCTTCATCCCAGGCATGCAGGGGTGGTTCAATATATGGAAATCCATCAATGTAATCCACTATATAAACAAAATGAAGGAGAAAAACCACATGATCATCTCCTTAGATACTGAAAAAGCATTTGACAAAATTTAACACCTAGTCATGTTTAAAGTCTTGGAGAAATCTGGGATACAAGGCACATACCTAAATCTTGTAAAGGTAATATACAGCAATTCTATAGCCAACATCAAACTAAAAGAAGACACACTTAAATCAATCCAATTGAAATCAGGAACAAGGCAAGGCTGCCCACTCTCTCCTTACTTTTCAACATACTACTTGACGTCCTAGCTAGAGCAATAAGACCACTAAAGGAGATCAAAGGGATGCAAATTGGAAAGGAAGACGTCAAGGCATCACTATTTGCAGTTGATATGATAGTACACATGACTTGCCCCAAAAATTCTACCAGAGAACTCCTTCAGCTGATAAGCAACTTCAGCAAAGTGGCTTGATACAAAATTAACTAAAAAAACAAAAACAAAAACAAAACAAACAAACAAAAAACAGTAGCCCTACTGTATATGAAAGAAAAAGGGGCTGAGAGAGAAATTAGGGAATCTACACCCTTCACAATAGCAACTAATTAACATAAAGTACCTTGGTGTGACCATAACCAAGCAAGTCAAAGACAAGTTTGAAAAAAACTTCAAGTCTCTGAAGAAAGAAATTGAAGAAGGTATTACAAGATGGAAAAATCTCCCATGGTCATGGATTGGTAGGATTAACATAGTGAAAATGGCTACCCTGCCAAAAGCAATCTGCAGATTCAATGCAATTTCATCAAAATGCCAACACATTTAAAATCTTTATAGATCTTTAAAGAATAATACTCAATTTCATATGGAAAAACAAAAATTCCAGAATTGCTAAAACTATCCTGTACAACAACAGATAGTCAAGAGGTATCTCAATCCCTGATCTTAAGCTATACTACAGAGCAATAGTAATAAAAACTGCATGGTACTGGCATAGAAACAGAATGGTGGATGGATGGAATAGAATAGAAGACCCAGAAATATACCCACCCACCTATGGGTACTTGATTTTGGATAAAGAAACCGAAACCATACAATGGAAAAAAGGCAGCATCTTAATCAAATGGTGCTGGTCCAACTGAATGTCTACATGCAGAAAAAATGTAAATAGATCCATATTTATCACCCTGCACAAAACTAAAGTCCAAGTGGATCAAAGACCTCAACATAAAACCGGATACACTAAACCTGTTAAAGGAAAAAGTGGGGAAGAGCCTTGGATTCATTGGCACAGGCGACAACTTCCTGAACAGAACACCAACAGCACAGGCTCTAAGAGCAACAATCAATAAATGGGATCTATGCCAGATCTTATGGAGGAATTTTCTCAAATAAGGTTTTCTTCTTTCAGATAACTCTAGCTTGTGTCAATTTGGCATAAAACTAGTCAGCACACTTAAGACATAGTGAGAGGTGTTTCTTTTGAATGGATCAGTTTTGTCAAAAAGCTTTCTTACAATTCCAAACTCCTTCACAGTGGAAGCAAAATCAGACTAGGAAAAAAGTGAAGTAACTTTGGCTGACCCACTATTAAGTTGTAAAAGGGTATAGGAAAGACCAGAATTCTCCATGGGGAAACTGATCTTTCAGCACAATACTACTCCAGGAAAGTTGTCAGAGGAATTTTGGAGAACAGTCGGACATTAGCTAATGAAATAAGAGGTGGACTTCATCTATCATTCAGTTCTTACTAGGTATACAATTGAGGAAACTTCATATGAACATTGAAAGGAAAACACTGCTGTGAAGTTATTGTGTATTGACAAAGTGCAGTTTTATCAGTAAATATTAGGGAAAAATGATATTGAGAGTGAGAGAAAATTAAATAACAAATTGTTATATATACAATTTGTTATTTAAATAAACAATATATTTATATATATTGTTATATATACAATTTGTTATTTAATGTTCTCTCACTCATCATATGTATATATATATATATATATATATATATATATATATATATATATATATGATGGGCTACATGTGTATCTACAAAGAGTAGTCTAATTACATTAAAACAATGTGGGGCATTGGAAAGATGGATCTCTGGTGAAGAGCAATTGCCGCTTGTGAAGAGAAGAGTGGCTTGGTCCCTGATACCCACATCCAGTGGCTCACAACTGCTTTTGACTCTGGAGAACAGACACCATCTTCTAGCCTCCAAACTTACCGGAAAGTACATGGTCTACCTACAGGCTAGCAGTCACACACACACACACAGAACTCAACATAGAAGTTCAAAAATATAATGTTACTTTAAATAAAGAGGTGCAGAAATTTATATAGTCAAAGCATAATAATAGTATTGTATAATTCAAAGATGTAAGGTTGTTTTAAAACATTATTTACATTTTCAATTTTGTCTAATGAATAGATGAAATTTATGCTTTTTTTTTTTTTTAGATAAAAGAATGACAACGGCACTGTGTGGTGAAACATTCAAGGATTTGTTTTTAAAATGATCAAACACTAATATGAAGTAAATTTGTTATTTGAAGGACAGTTTCAAATAAATTATTTTCTATAGAATGATTTTATATGTGATGGATGTCATTTAATCATTTGAAGTAGCATTACATTTGTAACTTTTATCAATGATTAAATTACTGATACATTCTACTTACTTTCAAAGAGTTCAAAGATGTTGTTTAAATGAATACCATTAAATTAAAAATGAACGGGTTATTGGAGAATTAAAACTAGAGGTCAGCTTTACAACATACATTCAGTTTTTAGAGCTGAAATATTTTGTAATAACCAGGAAGATACACACACATTCACTCACCTCAAACTTTTCACTATAACATTTTCTTAGAGCGTCTAACTCCACCTTCCTCTTTAGCTCCAGCAGAGGGCCTTGCTGACTCATGTAGTCTACATCTTTCTGGATCTTGGCATTGGCTTTTTCCAGCTTTTCCTTCTCCTGCTCCAAATGCCTCAAAGTTTTAAATGTGTCTTCCAGATGGATGTTCAGCTCTGAAATATCTTTGAAATAGCTCTCATGTTCTGAAGGTAAATTGATGAGAGCAACACAAAGTTCAGAGCTGCCAGAAGATAAGCCAAATGTCTGACTATATAGAGAAGCTATTTTAGCTTTAGAAATTATTCATCTATGAATCATAAGAAGGGTTATTTAAATGTTAAGTTATAAAACATATCGCTTTCTTTATTTGTCATAATAGGACTAAAACATGCTTTATTAATTGATTATCTTTAGTATAAACCCAATTTACTACCATCAACAAACCTATCATTTTACATACATACACACATAGACACCAGACACACATAAATATTTTATGTAATTGTGTAAAAGTTAAAATAAAATAAAAAAATATAGAGGCCTTCTAAAAATATATAAAAGTAAAATGATAAAATTGGACTTAAAATGTCAAAATGAAAGGGTGACCATGACTCTTATTTAGGGCATTCCAGTTATATATATTTAAAAAAAACACAAAACAACAGAAAATTATTATGACTTATAGGACTGATTTACCAAAAATAAAGAAGAGAATGATTTATTTACCTGAACTTAGCATATAGAGTTAATCTATCCAAGCTTAGGGATATAGTTCAGTTCAGAGTTCTGGACAGCATCCACAATGCTCTGAGTTAGATCCCCTACACCACCAAGCATGGTGACTACTGGCACACTTGTAATCCCAGCGCTAAAGCTTGATCATCTTTAGTATAAATCCAATTTATCACCACCAGAAACAAACTGGTCATTTTATAAACACACACACACACACACACACACACACACACACACAGAGAGAGAGAGAGAGAGAGAAGTATTTTATGTAATTGTGAAGAAGTTCATGCAGAAGCAGCAAGGTCAACTTTATCTACATATAAATTCATTCAAGGCCAGCTAGGAATACATGAGACCCTATCAATGAATAAATGAATGGATGGATGGATGAATGGATGGATGGATGGATGGATGGATAGATGGATGAATTAATACAAAGATGTTGGTAAAGAATAACTCCACAACAAAAATATAATGTGAAATAAGCAGAATGTTGTAGAGGAATTTAAATTTAATTCAGAACATGGCTGCTCTGGCAAGATATCACATCCAAATACCTTCTAGGTCTGTGTGATCTTGCTAGAATACAAACATGCCTTTAATTCAGGAGACAGAGGAAAGCAGATGTGAGTTCAAAGCCAGCCTGGTACAGAGCAAGTTTTAAGTAAAGAAAAGTATAGGTTCAGTTGTGTTGGTATGCATCTTTAATCCCAAACAACAAAGGTAAAGTTAGTTTGTAGAAGGAAGCACCCATGTTTGAAAGTGATGTTTAATTAATTGTCAGAAAAAGTGATGTATCATAAAAGATTTGACAGAATAGGATATGCCCAACTCTCATGAGAACAGGGAAGAAAAGGAAGGTACTAAAGGGAGCAACGCAGAGAATGAGAGAGAGAGGAGGCAATTTTACCCAGAGAGTTTAGAGAAAGAAGTTGAAGGAGAGAACAAGCTAGACACAAGTGAAGACAGAAGGAGAAAGAGCAAGAGCCAGAGGATTAGAAAAGATTGCTGGAGTTAGTGTGGGATCTTTCTATTGAGGTCTAAGGCTGGCATTTCCAGATAGCCTCTGAACTCAGTATAAATGACAGTCTCCGTTTCTCAGCTGGGTTCCCCCTACTTGATTTGGATAGCGCCAGATGTCCTTAGGAGTGCCACAGAGCCCACAGGGAGATTACAAGTCCCACCCTTTCCTGATAAGAAAGCACCAGGGGATTCCTAGAAACACCCACCTTATGCTAGTGAGACGGCTATGTGCCTTGGCTTTCAACCAATCACCTTTAATTGTACCTGGAGTTCTTCCTACACCTATAACATAATTAAGAACAGCTTTACCCCTCTTACGATAGGGCTGTTCTGTTTCATGTAAATCGAGTATCCTTGGAACCCGTAGCTATGATGAATCAAACATATTCACCCTCAAAACTCCTTCTACTGCCCAAGGGTTCTAAGTCTGTGATTCACAAATTAAACTCTCTCTTATTCCACTCTTCCACCATGACCACCTGAGATTTGTCATTGATTCTGGGGAAGGGTGGGCTCCCCTTCTCCCAGAAGAATCGCTGGGGTTTGGTGTTGCGTGTTTCTGCCATTCTTTGTCGACCTTGCCACCATCTTTCCAGCACCATTCTGCCCACTGCCATGGCCATCTGTGGGAGCAAGCCTTCAGCTGCTCCCAAAGCAGCCATTTTGTCTGCCCGGACAAAGCCGGTCTTCCAGCTCTGCTTCTCCTGGTTTCAGAGCTCCTATTGAGCCTCTGTTTCTGCTTTCTCATGAAGTAGCCACCGACCTGCCCAAGTAAGGCTAGGCCCTCTGTGCTGCCTGGCTTGCGTTGTGGAGCCCTCAGGTCCTTTGACCCTGACACTTCACTCTTTTCCACCCTGAGCATGTACTTCTATTTCCTGCCCAGCAGCAGGACTGCCCATACTCCTGCCAGACGTGGAATGCCAGAGTTAGTTTGAGGCCAAGCAGTGAGATTCAGAGACCAAGAGAAAAGACAGATTGAATAAATTAGTTTGGAGAGGAGGTTGAGCCAGAACAGCTGAGCTGAACCAGCCAGCTACCAGTCAAGAAAGAACAAGAAAGGGTGAGCTCGTTAAGCGGTAAGTCTCAGAGGCTGAAAACATTCTAGGCCTAGGTTAGATTGTACAGAGGCTAGAAGCTTCCAGGACTAGGCCCACACTAGCAGACAGTGTGACAACAATTCTCTGAGACAACAACTGAAACAGGTGGATAAAAATTCCTTTTACCTGACACCAAGCAAGGATCATAGGAAGAAAATAACAATGAAAAGAAACATAAAAATGGATAAACGTTAACTGTTTGGATAAAAATGTTTGAAGTTTTAGACATGGAAATTACTTCTAATTACTTTATCTGTTTAATATACACTTAGACAATTACAAGCAAATTTGACAACAGAGCTTTCTCATTCTTCCCATTACAGCTTCCTAATACCAACGCCATCTTGTATTGTTGAAATGAAACAATTTTTTTTAATAACATAAAACAAATTTTCTCATGACTTTTGTTGATAAATACGTTTATGAATTTTGCCTTCCTTTAATGAGTTAGGCCTGTATTTTTTTTCATATTTATACTGATTCCCACTAACTTTGCTGAGTAGTTTAAAGTGCCTTCTTATATTATCTATGAACTCTGTTTCTTGAAAATTTTGTAGACATCTCTAATTACATTTACAAAAACATAGTGTTATATTTTATACCCATGAATATTTTGTATTTGAGGCATTTCTAGCTATTAAATCAAAGTCTTTATGTTAATGTCAAGAAAAATATTTTGGTTATCTGTTTACGTACTGATAATTCTCTTTCTGTAAACATTCACAGTTAGTGAAATGTTGCTCTCAAAGATGTATTCTGAGTGTTTTCGTTATCAATGATCAGAACCACAGGCAGGATGTGGTGCTGCACACCTGTAATCCCAGTGTGCAGGTAGATGAGGTATGAAGATGAGAAACTCAACAGAACTTTAATATAGTAAGATTCTGTATTAGAAGAAGAAGAGAGAAGTAGGGGGAGAGGAGGAAGGACAGATGAAGGAGGAGGTGGAAGAGGAAGAAGAAGAAAATGGTTTTGATTCATCTCACGTTCGTACGCTCCATCACTTCAGTGCCTCTCTTCCTCTTTCTCTTCCTCCCCATGCCTTGCCCCTCTATCCTTCAAGAGTTACTTTCAGTTATTCTCACTGCGGAAAGCTACCTCTAGTTCTCAGATTGGGCAGGACATGCTAGCTCTACAAAATGTTTCACGTGCTGTCAAACGCGGTCATTGTAAAGTCTAGGATTTCTTCCTTCTCCGTTAGATGACCACAGAGATGTAGTCATGAATCCACAAGCAGAGATGGGTGAAAAGCAAGGAACCAGTAAAAGCAGGCGAGCGGAACACCAGGAGAGTCTGAGGCCCTTCTTCATGGGTGTCTCCAAATGCCTGTGCTGTATGATAAAATGTATGTGTTGCTTTATTTTATGAGCAAAAACTATAAGACTGACTTTATAGCCTGTAGGATTATACAACACCCAATTTATGTTGGAAGACAGTTCTGGTTATTGTTTTGATAAAGAAAAGACAATTCTTTAGATAGAACTACGTATCAGATAACAAGAGCTGCTGTTTCAGGGGGAGTTATAACTAGACAGAGAGGAAGGCACCAGGGCTATGAATATACTGCCCCACTCTCCACAATGACCTCTTCATGGTTTCCCATGTAGATTCTCTTTGGCCGATCCAGAAGGAAGTTACGCTAGAGAAAACATCTTTAGCACAAGCCACTTTGAGTCAGCTTTCTGGGGGATGAAACAAAACATATGTATTGTGGCAGATAGGAGGGTAGGATGGAAAACCTCTGGAAGAGATCTGGGAGAGCAACAGATGGGTTCCCTGGTTTATTAAATGTTTGGTCTAAAACATATCCTACTTATTATAGCTGCCAAAAAGAACTGAGTTATTTACATTTATTATACAAGAAACTTTAAGGTTCTACAAGCAGAAAACATGTAATTCTATACCTTATAAACAGATTAATAACATTTAAGGATTGTGTTCTTTTTATATCCACAGAAAGCCAGTTAATTCCTGGAAACAATTTTTTAGAAGCCTTTTTCACACAGAAAGTTCTTACGAAGTATATAGTACTGACTTTAAATTATACTGCATGTATAAGCCCCTTAAATAAAATGAAGCAAGTAAATACCCATTTGAAATTTAAGTAGGCCTTTAATAGTACTGATTAAAAGTTAATCTAAACCCTAAGTTATTACCCATCTCAAGAATTTATTGATTTATTAGTTATTAGAATGTATGCACATCTATATTAATTTTATTTCTATAACTCCCTAAATTTAACTCTAAACAGACTCAAAATGACAGTATCTAAATAATGTTATAAAAGGTTTATAAGGTAATCAGTACAACATTATAAAAATCAGCTCTCAACATCCATTTTTTCTACTACTGCTAGTGAGGAACAGCAATTAGGTAAAGCGCAGATGCTCTGTGGATGTGAATATGCAGCAGCTCAATAACCTGATGCGGTCAACAGTATCCCTAGGCACCAATCCTGACCCTGTCGTTGTCTCAACCTAGTTACATGGCATCCAGAGGCTTTGAACTCAGTTTTCAGCACAGTAATGCACTAGTGGAATGTTAATAATAATAATTAGGTTTAAGAAAAGAAGTACACAAAAGACCATTTCAATTAAAATATTTTCTTTCTGCTCCTCAGAACACACATTTATATACTTCGAAGACAATAATTTTGGAATGTTTGGTGCTACAAAGACTGGTTATTCATGTGTTCAGCAAAACACAGATTTTAAGTTATTACCTGCTATCACAGAGTAATGACTCATACTGTGGCCCATCAGTGGACCAGGGGAGGGTCATAATGGGAGTAGAGAGAGGAAGCAGGGGTTTGGGAGATTAGGGAGGGGGCCAGAGCTGGAATATAAATTGAAGAAATTGTAATAAATTATAATTATAATTAAAAAGGAAAAATTTTCCTATTTATGTGAACAATTGTATAAGTATCCTATTTTTTTAAGTGACTTCAAAGCCAATGACTCCTTAACTGAAAATTTTACTTCACAATGGGGTAAGAAGCTTTTATCCTGAATACTGCTCTAGAATGTTATAATGATATATGATTTAATTTAATGATACAGGATACAGGATATAGGATTTAATTTAATGACACAGCAACTTCAGTTTGTGTAATATTCCACTCTGGCTCTTCCTCTGTATATGCTACAGGAGAATATTTTCTTAAAGAATGGTTGCCCCTATTACTACTGAAAACATATTATCTTCTTGCTAGGAATTCCTTTAAAACTGAACTTACATTTCCGTTCTCAAAAGTGAATACATAATATTCACAATATTTCACTCTGAAATCTGAATATTTCAACATCCCAAAATATGGCTAATGATACCAGTCATCTTTATGAATTTTTAATAATTCAAATACTACCATTATGGTAAGTAAACATATGTCAAATGTTTGCCCATCTCCATGGTATGCTAATGAATGGGATTTTCAACACACTTAAAAGCCCATAATCAAGGTTTGCTCATACAGCATCCATGTGTGTCTCTGGATTCATCACAACATTTAATACCATATTTCATACCAGCTCCAGTTTATAAACATGTAACAGTGATCTCTGTAGCCATCAGCAATGCATCCTCTCTTCTCTAACAGAGACTGGAAGAATAGAAAACCCTTTTCCTACCTTTCTGCACAGCTATGGGGAGTTCCTGAAGTTTCCAAAGGGACCAAGAGTCAATTTTTGTGCTAATCCTTTTCTTTCTTGATTTTTGTTGTAGTAATGCTTGTTCCGCTTCAGCCCTGTCAGTTTCCAGACTTTTAATGAGGTAGATGGCCTCTGCCAGCAATATCTCCATTTTCTTCTTCAACTCTGGACACTTCTCATCTTAAAATGGGAACATGCATTCATGCTTGTTAATCACTCAGCCCCTGAGCAGTGCGACAGAACATGGGGCTTACTGGAAATAGTCTTTCAAATATTTGTCTATCTAAGGGAAGTTTAGAAAAGTGAAATGATATTTAAAAGGCCATTTGTAACATAAAACAGAGCCAGGCATGATGGCACAGGCCTGTAATATCAACACTTAAGAGGCTGACAGGCTGCAAGATCCCTGTAGGGGCAGTCTGGGCCACAGAGTGAGGGATTTGCCTTGAAAACAAACAAAAGGAATTTAAGATTATATAACCCAATCATGAGGATAACTCAAAGATGGCATATTCTTCAGATACAGAATTTTTAGTGAACACATCAAAAGTGTATATAAATCCTCAACTAGTAACTTGAAAAGAATCACTGTATTGGAAGAGAAAACATCACCCAAGCTGCTTTATCTTAAATCATGGCCATATTCCCTTCCAGTCCTCAAGGACACAGATCACAATGCACAGTTTAAATCAATATTGAAGATTACTCTGTTCCTGGAAAAGAAGGCATTGATATTCTTCACCGTTATCAGATAATAACTTCTCCGCTTAGCCTTGGCGGACATTTTCAAATTCTATTTATTCAGCCTTAATTAACTCTGTTAATCAGAGACGCGTGTGATCCCTGGTTCACAGCTCTGGAATAATATGGCTTAATGTTAACAAAGTATTACCAGAGGTATTCATTCATCTGCTGGTGAACAAAATGTGTACAAAGATTAGTATTTTCTCCAGCAGCAATAATATGCTTTCCTCGAGAGAGAACAAGGTAAGGAAGACAGATGAGAGGCCTGTTCTGCTGGTATTTGTAGCTATAAACTTTGACTTTTGCTAACATGCAACATGACAAGAATACATAAACACAGTGTCAAGAAAGAAAAGGACACCGTGGAGGGGGGATGGGAAGTAAGACAGTGAAACAGCATAACACAGGAAAAGGGTGGATGAATTTGTTTTTCTTTTGGATAATAAAGACGATTTTTCTACTAGGTGGCAGTATCACAAATGGCTACATAATGCTTCTGAAGGCAAGCTAGACTGTTGCATATTTTTTCTCCTATCCTAGAGAGCTTGTCAAAAACATCGACATGTACCTTTAAATAATATTAATGGGCAAAAAATCTCTCCCTGGGCCCAGCTTTATCTGGTCTATTTGAACCTGTTGTTTGCTTTCATCCTGAGTACTTTACTGAGTGAGCCTTTAAGGAAATATTCATGGAACATTGACAATTTGTGAATGACCCCGTGAACAATCTCCCTAAGAAGTTTTAGTCTAACATACACAGAGATACTAATGTCACTGATAATCACAGCACTTTACTGAATTTACGAGTGCTTTACCAAAGTTGTTCTTTCTGTTTTTAAAAATTACCTTTTGCTCTCTCTTTAATGGCATGCAGTTAAATGTTATATGTGTAAGTGACCTGTGGTGCCTCTGATCCATTGTAACACAAATCTCTCTAATGGACACCCCTCCAAATAAACTCAGTGTATCTGTAAACAATGACTTGCAAATGTTGACACACTTTTAACAGGTTACCATCTTCCTGGTACCATGTGGATCTTAGTCTCTCCTGTGCATCTTTCTGATGCATGTTATGCTACATACTTTTACTGTGACTGTAGCCATCAATAACTTAATCTGTTCTTCTTCTGCATCTGTGATGTGTAAACACTGAAGTTTTCATCTTCTCTATAGACATTAATATGGAAAATAAATAATTAAATGAAGTGGATCAGTCACTCAAAACCGAGCCTCAGAATGATGCTTTGAAAGACAAAACAAAGTATTCTTCCTTCTAAGGAGAAGTCCAGAGTTTATCAGTGTTCCTCCGATGAAGGCATGTCTAAAATTTTTGTGACAAGCAAAGAGGAGAAATTTAGTATAATCTCAAAGCATATATCCAAATATGTTGAAATAGTATTCATAATTGCTTTAAGCCAATATTTAATTTTTGCAACTTTTTTATTAGATTGTGTTAAATTCTGATCAGATGGAAGCCCCTGAACCACAGCTATTTATGTCTAATGTGAGTTAAGACTAGACTTTAGAATGAAGTTCTTCAGTCTTTCTGCTACATGCCAGCTGGTCAGTAACTCTGTGGATAGCACCTACCCCACCAGAGAGACAGACAGACAATATCCTGGTCACACAGAAAGTTTTATCAATGACTCTCAATTGTAACTAGCTCCTTGGGCTCTGGGCAGGTATCACTATAAGTATACTTAAGCCAGTGTCTGGAACAGAAGTCAGTTAGAATAATCAACACTAGAGGAAGGTATGCTTCCCATAATGGCATAACAGGCTCTTTCGATATTCAATATCCAGAAAACCTGTATTAAAAACATGTTAAATAAAAGTTCAATGACTTGTAAACAATTATACATCCCTAGTATGGAGAAACAAACTTACCCCGTGCTTTTTCAGAGCGGCCTTCTTTCTCTGGAGTGGACACACCCACATCTTCCAGTTCATCTTTCATGGCAGAAGTCCTACGCATACATACCAAGGGAGCCGGCATCAATTCGTGAAAGATAAATGACTTAAAATTAGTCAAACAAAACTTGGTAAAACATTTGTGTGGAATGTTAAATGTTGTTTGCGTGGTAACCACACTAAATAGTGCAATAAGATAAAGAAAGTTCTATTATCCAGTAGTATTTACCCTCACAATAATAAAAACTTTTAAAACAATCATAAATGTCTTGAACTTTCTTGAGAGGAAATTAAAACAGTACTTTTATTTAGAAATTCTTATATCGAACTTCGTGGCCTGCTCTTTGATCACCTACTCCTGAGGAGGGAGCACATTACCAGGCCACAGAGGAGGACAATGCAGCCACTCCTGATGAGACCTGATAGACTAGGGTCAGACTGAAGGAGAGGAAGCCTTCCCTATCAGTGGACTTGGAGAGGGGAATGGGAGGAGATGAGGGAGGAAAAGTGGGATTGGGAAAGGGGACTAGGGAAGGGGCTACAGCTCAGATAGAAAGTGAACAATATGTATAATAAAACAATAAATAAATAAAGTTCTTATTTCCTAAAAATTTTATAAGATACAACTTAATTAATAAACTGTGTGTGTGTGTGTGTGTATGTGTGTGTGGGTGTGTGTGTGTGCGTAGGGGGGTGTTCTCTACATATGTGTGGGTGCTTGCCCACCAGAAGTGGACATTAGATGGCTGGCTCAGTGATTATGACCTGCCACATGTAGGTGTGGGCTGAGCTAGGCTCCTCTGCAGGAGGAGTATCCTTTGTAAATTACTGAACTACGTCTCCAGTTCCAAAGGGCAGGTTTGACTGAAAATTAAATGGATGTGATAGTACTTTGTTTTAGTGAGTTCTGGATAGCCAATACATACTACAAAGGGTAGGTTTAACCATTTCAGACTTAAAATTAGCAAGATTTTAGAAAAGTAGCCAGATAAAAAGAATGTTATTTCCTTTCCAAATAATCTTCTTACTGGAGTTTAACTAATACAAAATATATTTTTTTTACTATCACTATTTCTCTAACCTAATGCTTAGATCCTAAACTAAGTTTTCCTGTATTTTAAAAAATTTATATTTTCACTGATGAAGATTTTACATAAATCAGCATCAATGGAAAGATGGGTCATTTTAGAGCTTTTACTAAATCATTCATTTTTATTAAAGAGTCATTAAAATTAACAAGAGCTTCATGAATAACAAATATCATTAAAACTCATAAAATAACTCATGTTCACACTGTAGGAATACTTCAGCTTTTATGCAAGTCACCATCAAATTCATATCTTATTTTGGTGCATATCATTCCCATAAGTTTTAATTTTACCATTTGCAATGGTTGCATATATTATATTTCAAAATTTATTTCAAAAGTCAATTTTTATAAAATACATCCATTGTCTTCTTTATTTTTCCCTTCCTTTTTATTTCAGGAAATTTAATTAAGAATTGTAGTTTGAATTATATATATATATATTTTGAATTTTTAAAATAATCAATCATTAATTGTCCCCAAATCAATGATTAAACAATGCTTTTGCCTTTTGGCTTGCAGTCTTCATTGCATCTTGGGGCATGTTACCATACACAATTAACTACAGTTGTGAAGGTTTCATTGTTGTTGTTTGTTTGTTTCTTTGGGGCACCTTTGTAAAGCACTGGTTATCCTGAAACTCTCTAGTTATGCCAGCCTGGCTTCAATCTCACAGTGATCTGTCTGCTTCTGCCTCTGAGTAAGAAGATTAAAGGCACCACCACACCGGGGAAGCTGTAGTCTTGCATATTGTCTTCCAAAGTTTTGTTCTAATACCAAGTCCAATAAATCTTTCTATTACACTTTTAAAATAAAGTTATTTATAGTCAACTATTTGATTAAACACACTCTTCTCTTTCTCGTTTTAGTCTTTATCAGTGACTAATCTGCTCTCTGTCTCTATGGATGCAGCCACGATAAATATTCCACATAAAATATTAATATAAAGGTAAGCATTTGTGCCCAGCCCCTACAACATATATATTATACCTATAGGTAATGCATAGATATGTATAATATTTTCATTTCTTTAAATGGCATAAAAATATTTCATTACATAAATAAACCACAGTTTTAATTCACTGATAGTTTTTATTTTTCACCTCTTAGCTATCATGAAAACTGCTGCTTTGAACATTTGTATTTAAATTTTCATTTGAAAACACGTTTCAAGTTCTTTGGGGTATGTGTTTTAAGGTAGAAATGGTTGGCTTTTTAGGAGTGGGGGGGATTTTATTTCTTTGCTTATGTGTTTATTTTGTTTATTTTTTGAAAGAGGGTCTTAATACATACCTTAAGCTTGGTACCAATTGGCCATCATCTAGTCTCTACTTTTCTAGTATTTGTGTTAGGGAATGTGACAATTATACTTGGCTAAAGTTTTTTTTTCTATTTTTTACTTTTAAATATTTTTGGTATTAATTACAGTTTATTCACTTTGTATCCCAGCTGTAGCCCCCACCCTCGTCCCTCCCAAACCCACTCTTCTTCCCTCCCTCATCTCCTCACATGGCCCTCTCCAAGTCCACTGATAGGGAGGTCCTCCTACCCTTCCCTCTGGCCCTAGCCTATCAGGTCTCATCAGGACTGGCTGCACTGTCTTCCTCTGTGGCCTGGTAAGGCTGCTCCCCAATCAGGGGGAAGTGATCAAAGAGCCAGCCACTGAGTTCATGTCAGAGACAGTCCCTGTTCTCATTACTAGAGAACCCACTTGGATAATGAGCTGCCATGGGCTACCTCTGTGCAGGGGTTCTAGGTTATCTCCATGTATGGTCCTCATTGGAGCATTAGTCTCAGAAAATACTCCTGGGCCCAGATTTCTTGGTTCTGTTGCTCTCCTTGTGGAGCTCCTGTCCCCTCCAAGTCTTTCTATCTCCCTTTTCTTTCATAAGATTCCCTGCACGCTGCCCAAAGTTTGGTTACTAGTCTCAGCATCTGCTTTGATACACTGCTGGGTAGAGTCTTTCAGAGACCCTCTGTGGTAGATTCCTGTCCTGTTCCCTGTTTACTCCCTCTTTCAATTTCCATTCCATTTGCCTTTCTGAGTGATGATTGATCATCCTACCCAGGGGCCTCCTTCTTCTTAGCTTCTTTAGGTGTACAGATTTTAATATGGTTATCCTATATTATATGTCTAATATCCACTTACAAGTAAGTATATACCATGTGTGTCTTTCTGCTTCTGGGATACCTCACTCAGGATGATCTTTTCTAGTACCCACCATTTGCCTGAAAATTTCACGATTTCCTTGTTTTTAAAAGCTGAGTAGTATTCCAATGTATAAATGTACCACAGTTTCTGTTTTCCATTTCCTCAGTTGAGGGGCATCTGGGTTGATTCCAGGTTCTGGCTATTATGAATAAAGCTGCTAGAAACATGGTTGAGCAAATGTTCTTGTTGTGTACTTGAGCATCTTTTGTATATATGCCTAGGAGTGCTATAGCTGGATCTTGAAGTAGCACTTTTTCTAATTGTCTGAGAAAGGATCATATTGATTTCCAAAGTGGTTGTACAAGGTTACATTGCCACCAGCAGTGGAGGAGGGTTCCCCTTTCTCACAACACAACCTCTCCAGCATGTGTTGTCACTTGAGTTTTTGATCTTAGCCATGCTGATGGGTACAAGGTGAATTCTCAGGGCTGCTTTAATTTTCATTTGCCTGATGACTAAAGGCATTGAACATTTCTTTAAGTGTTTCTCTGCCATTGTATATTCCTCTGCAGAGAATTCTCTGTTTAGCTCCATACCACATTTTTTAAATTGGGTTACTTGATAGTTTCCTGTTTAACTTGATATATATATATATATATATATATATATATATATATATATATGTGTGTGTGTGTGTGTGTGTGTGTGTGTGTGTGTGTGTGTGTGTGTTTATCCATACATACATATATGGATATTAGCCCTCTGTCAGATATAGGGTTGGTGAAGATCTTTTCCCAGTCTGTAGGCTATCATTTTGTTCTGATAACACTGTCCTTTTCTTTACAGAAGCTTTTCATTTCATGAGGTTCCATTTATTGATAGTTGATCTTAGAGCCTGTGCTGTTGGTGTTCTGTTCAGGAAGTTGTCTCCTGTGCCAATGAGTTCAAAGCTCTTCCCCAGTTTTTCTTCTTCCAGGTTTAGTGTGTCTGTTTTGATGTTGAGGTCTTTTATCTATTTAGACTTTAGTTTTGTGCAGGGTGATAAATATGGATCTATTTACATTTTTCTGCATGTAGACATCCAGTTAGACCAGCACCATTTGTTGAAGATGCTGTCTTTTTTTCCATTGTATGGTTTTTTGCTTCATTGTCAAAAATCAGGTATCTGTAGGTGTGTGGGTTCAGTTCTGGACCTTCTATTGGATTCCGTTGATCCACCATTCCTTTTGATGCTAGTACTATGCACTTTTTATTACTATTTCTTTGTAGTACAGCTTGAGATCAAGTATGGAGATACACCTCCAGATGATCTGTTTTTGTACAGTATTGTTTTGGCAATGCTGTTTTTTTTTTTGTTTGTTTGTTTGTCCATATGAAGTTGAAAATTGTTCTTTCGAGTTCTGTAAAGGATTGTATTGGTATTTTGATAGGGTTTACATTGAATCTGTAGATTGTTTTTGGCAAGATGTCCATTTTTACTATATTAATCCTGCCTATCCATGAGAATGGGAGATTTTTCCAACTTCTGATTTCTTCTTCAATTTCTTTCTTCAGAGAATTGGAGTTTTTTTTCAGACAGGTCTTTCACTCGCTTGGTTAGAATCACATCAAGGTACTTTATGTTATTAGTGGCTATTCTGAAGGGTGTATTTTCCCTAATTTCTTTCACAACCCTTTTCTCTTTTGCATACAGGATGGCTACTGATTTTTTTGAGTTAATTTTGTATCCAGCCACTTTGGGAGTTCTCTGGTAGAATTTTTGGGGTTGCTCATGTATGCTATCATATCATCTGGAAATAGTGATACTTAGACTTATT